GACTAGAAGTAGCAGTGGTAATGGTTGTAGTCCTCGTCGTCGTCGTCGTAGTGGTAGTGGTCGCGGTAGTGTTATTAATAGTAAAAAAAATAATAGTAGTAGTAGTAGGAGTAATAGTAGTAATGGTGGTGGTGGTAGTAGTAGTGGTAGTAATAGTAGAAGTCGTCCTCGTCGTGGCGGTAATAGTAGTAGTAGTAGTAGTAGTAGTAGTAGAGTAATAGAAGTAGTAGTAGTAGTAGTAGTAGTAGTAGTAGTACCAGTACTAGTAGTACCAGTAGCAGTAGCAATAGCAGTTGCAGTTGCAGTTGCAGTAGTAGCAGTAGCAGTTGCAGTTGCAGTAGCAGTAGTAGTACTAGTCGTCGTCGTCGTCGTCGTAGTAATAGTAGAAGTAATAGTAGTAGTAGTCGTCGTCGTAGAAGTAGTAGTAGTAGTAGTAGTAGTAGTAGGAGTAGTAGTAGTGGTGGTGGTGGTGGTAGTAGTAGTAGTAATAGTAGTAGTATTAGTAGTGGTTGTTGTTGTTTTGGTAGTAGTACTAGTAGTAGTAATAGGAATAGTAATAGTAAGAGTAATAGTAGTGCACTAGTGCATTCCAAGTTGTGCGGTTTGTTGAAGCTACTCTGGTTTTCGCAGCTCCCGCTGGGCGGAATTGCACGTACGTGCTCATTCATGTGTTTACTGCCTTTCTTCATTTTTCAAGAGCACTCAACACGCACCCTGTTGTGATGGGGACGGGGCGAAGGGGCGTATTCAATCAGCAGTTTGTTTTGTGCTTTGGGCGGAGAAAGGTTTGGTTGGGTTTGGCTCATGTTTGGAACGTGTTTGCATCTTGACACCCGCCATAATCCATTTTGCATCGTGATGCACTTCTATGCACCCCCACCCTATCCCATGTTCTGTTTGAGTTCATTTGGAGGTTGGGCCAAGAGAGAAGTAAGGTTTCGGTCATTTGGTAGGAAGATCGTACCAAATAATACGTGTTTCCAATTTGCTAGCAGCACAGAAAGTCCGGATGAACGTTGAGAGGATGGGTGGCTACTTACATGCAGTTCATCTTCGGCGAATTAACGCAAAGAGGTTTGAGCATTTCAAGAGGTGTTTTGTCTCGACGTTTTTCTTCTTCCAATTCACTGTTTTGCTGTACACAACGTCCCTGTATGTCCCTGTGCTGGTCGCCCAAATCCAAGGCCAGGCTTTACTGTACGTAGGCATGTCAGGGCATGCGGCTGGCAAGAGGAGGGTAAACCCAAGCAGAGAAGGATCTCCATCCACATTCGCTGCACCATGCTGCGCCGGAAAGCAGCAAGGAAAGGAGGCTGGTCGCGACGGCGCGGGCAGCGGCAAAGGCGAGAAGGGCGGACCACCGAAGCGAGTAGGCAGAGATGCGTGCACTCTGCAATGGTGGGGCTGCAGACCTGGCGCGGCAGCGTGCAAGCAGCCGCAGGAAAATAACAGTTTCAGTGCACCACCACCTGCCACCTGTTTTTGTGCCCAGCACGACGAGCGGCAGCCGCAGTTGCGGAGTTCTGGATAACTGTGCGCAGCGTAGCGCAAGGCAGCCCCGGCATTACCCCCGCCCTCATGTTCAGGCTCGCCGTTTGGAGTCGACACGAGGGTGGTGTATGGTGGTGTCGACCGCAAGAGGGACCCCTCCCCAAGAGCGGCAAGCCGTTTGCTATGACCTCGAGGCGGCGGTCATCTTGTCGGCAGGGAACAGACTGCGACTGCGAGCCGAGCAATCTGCGTCTTTTTCAGTTTGTGCCGCTAGCGTGCAGCCATTGGTTCGAGCAGCATGTGGTCGCAGCAAACTGTTATGCTATCAGTAACAACACATGTTCCAAGCGCCTTCGTTTATTGTAGGAGAAGCACAGTTCGCACATCACATGTTCGATGATACTGGAGAACCTAGTGTGTGAACCGAAACAAACCATGCGGTGCTTGGTTTCGCGAATTCGGTTCGCGAAGCATACTCGCCAGGCACCTTGTTTGCACTTACCTGCGCGTGTGTTTCATCGGTGCGCCCTTCGTGCTTTTGTTCTTACGGTTGATGTTTTGAAAGGGCACAGGTTGGAGTGTTACGCGTATCCCAGGTGCTTGCCATCACTGCTCCGCAGCATCATGTTCCTCCGCATTTCTTGCAAGAGGTCGGCGACAAGGGGTGCTGTACCGGGTGCTTTGCTTGATTTGGCCCGCCACTGTGGACAAGGGGGAATGCCCGACGACCTAGGAAACAACACACACAGCACACACACACATATATATATATATATATATATATATGTACATAGAACTAAACAACTCCGCGCTTCTGCGGCCATAGTTTTCGAGGCTGCTTCAGCCGCGACCGCATTTAACCCGACAGCCCGATCGACATATCAAGCTATGATGTTGATGGAAGCGGACACATTTGACTTTACACTTCAGCACCACACGAACATGCGATAGAAGCGGGCACATTTAACTTGACAGTATGGAAGTGAACCAAAATAGAAGCGGACATGTTTAACCCGACAGACGTGGACCCGAAGTGCCCACCCCCAAAAACCCGAACAAAGCTTATTTCACGCACCGTGTGGAGGTGCACTGCGTGCGACGTCAAAATCGTGAGAGAACCGTGAGTATTATCAAATTACGAGCAGTTAGAGTGCTTAGCAAAACCGTGAGCAAAGCGTGAGTTATCGTGAGTTGGAGCTTTCGGTAGCCACACGACAAGGGTATAGGGTGGGTTCATGGTTTAGTGGATTTGGCGGCTTTGGGGCTTTAAAGCCAGCAGGCTCATTCGGGCTCGTTGGGTTAAACTTGGCTGTTCGGGTCGGCAGGTTTCAGTACACAGCCAGAGCAAACTTGTTTTTTTCAGGTCGGCAGGTTTCAAAACGTAGCCGGAGTAAACTTGGCTGTTCGGGTTCCGCTGGGTCATACTGAGTCTTGAGAGGCATGAGTTTTAAGAAGGGTTAAACGTGATCGTTCAAACCGAGTTTTCGAACAGCCGAGTTTAACCCGAGGCCAACGTGAACGCCTAGGTTTTTCTGTTGGTTGGATGCATAGGGCAAATAAGTAGATAAATACATAAACCTGAATCGCCAGGCCGTTCGGCCATTGGGCACCGTGGCGGAGCCTGCCAAAAGGACGTGGGCAACAGCAACATGTTCTGAATGCGTGCCCATGCATGTCACGCATTTGTGTTGCTGGAAGATGTGTGCACAGCAGGCAAGGAGCGCATGGCCCGCGATTGTGGCAGGAAAAAGAAACCGAACCAACTGCAGACGCTCAGAGCCTGGCTGTGGGAGCCTTGAATCGAACGGAGTGGTTTGTCGCTTGGTTTTGCCGGAAGCTTGCGCAGGCTGCTGTGCTGCTTGCTAGGTAGGAGAGTCCTTCGACCATTGCATTGAGTCGAGTTGCACTCATAAGGATCAAGCTCTTCATTTGTGGCACGGAAGCCGGTTGCTGTACGTGAACTCTCGCCCGGGCCCAAGGGATTGCTTGAGCCCGTGAGTTATGCTCAAGCTCAGTGCGTGTGACCCGGTTCGGTGCCCAGAACCGCACAACGCCCCGCGCAACCCTTGACTTTGCAAACTCGCAACACCCAGATTAGAGTATTAATCATAAATCGAACCGCAACAAGACGTCTAGGTACAGCTTGGCGGCTGCGGAACCAAGTGGCCAACGGCCAAAAACTTACCCGACGCTGCTTGGCTTTGGTCAACGCATGATCAAACTTACTTGGTCAAGGGGGTGGTATTTTGCTTTCGTGTGGGTGCAGCAAGCCGCCTATGTGCTGATATGCGATGACGACACCAAACCCAGACCAATAGCAATCGTTTTAATAGCATGGTGGGGCAATGGCCAAGCAGCTGTTGACAACCTCGGCTGTTCCATGTGTTCGTTTCATTTTACATGCTGGTATGCTGAGGTGAGCGCCAACTGCTCGAAACTACGGCCAAGGATTTGGTCCGGCTGCTGCCGTTTTCTGCGCTTGCGCCAGCAATTATTCAATCAATCCGAGGTTTGTAGACCCAAACCCCACAAGCTATGTCAACCCTAACACATGCGTCTCTTCTGGAGAGCTAATGCGAGCAACACGCCTTCGGTGGGTCTTGGTGCTGTTGGTGTTTTTGTTTGTTGCGGCAAGCTTCCGCAAATTGAGTTTGTGCTCAATAAGGAAAAAGTGTTTGTAAACTCTTTCTGCGCTGTAAGTCTCTTTAGCAACGTCAATCTATGAACCACGAAAAGCCGAGACTCTGTGTGAACCGGCCGCTGCGCTGAGGCCTTTCTGATTGTTCCTGGTGCTGAGCTGCTGCTCCCTTTCGCTTTGACCCTGCGCCTTGCCAAACTCCGCTGGAAGCTTCAAGCCCCAGCGGCAGATGCAGGATTTACTTGTAGGCATTTGTAGGGCTTATCGGTTTGAGGGCTTGGCCTTTTCAAAGATGCGTGGCTTTAACCCGAATTATATATATATATATATAGCCTGTGTCGTTGAGCGTGGCTGTTTGTCGACCGGCTGTGTTCAATGATCCGCCTTTCTATGCGGTCCTTGGTTAGCTGGTCGTCGCAAAACTCGATCGCACAGGGCCTGCCTTTCGCGGTTGCAAAATCAACTCCATTTGCCTTCAGGTTTCCGACGCTCATCCCAAGCACCTTCACGACAAATGAACAGCGGCGGCGGCGCCTCATTCTCAGGACCTTCACTTGCATATCCATGTGTCTAAGAACGTGGCGCAGGATTGATGCCGTTCCACTGCGCCCTGGCAACCGAAAGGTTGCACAGCATGTCGTCACAAATCTCCAAGCACTTTAAATGTGTGGTACGATGTTCAAGTTGATTAACCCGAAACCGGCTATGGCATTGTTTGACCTCGTGTGCTGAGGGCAGGGGTAGGATCCATCCATCCATCTATCCATTCATCCATCCGTCCACCCATCCATAGCAGTGAGTCATCCAGCCAGCGCCTGCCATCCAACCATCCATGCATGTTTGTTGGAGCCCCGGAGTTCTGCCAAGCCAGGAACTTGGAGCACAGCGTTGTGCGGCGAAGGTTGTTGGAGCAACTCGGCTGGTCATGGCACATGAGAAGGTGTAACATAGCAAGTTGATTCAGAAACCCTGCCTAAACCCTAAACCCTAAACCCTGGGTCGAAGGGGGTCATACTGTAGGTCCGGGTTTTCTCTTGATCAGGCTCCCGCACGACATTTGCCCGGGACCTCGTTCTCCAACACCCCCGCTTCCCCCTTAAAACAAACAATCGACGATTAAGCATGCCGTGCTGAAAAAACTGATTTTCATAACTCCTACATTGGCTTTATCCAGGCACGATGGTTGCAGCAGGTCGTTAACCGAAGAACCCTTCAGCATGTAACAGTTAACACATTTCAAAAACCCTTGTATGCTCTGAAGCCTTGATAGTTTCTACGCGTGCAAGGCTCCACCGAAGAGGTTTCACACATTACTTTTAAGGAGAGGGAGCGTGCAGGATCATTTGTAGTAATGCTTGTTTTTGCAAGTATGGCATCTGCACTCGCGGCCTCTAAGCCCTAAACCCAGAATTATTGAACTCTCCGGCCTGTTATACCATTATAAAACATTTTGTCGGATCTTAGGAAGTGCTGCGTCTTGAATCGCCCGCCTTACGATTGCCGTTTTGTCCCGCCTGCCGCAGAGTCCTCTTCCTACTTGCCACTGACGTCCAAAACCCGAGATTAGTCTGCGTGAAACCAGAGGCCTTCGGTGACTAGAGCGCCGTCGCACGAAGCGGGAGTTGTTGTCTTCATGTAAGCTTGGTTCAAAACAGAAGTGCAAGGCACATGGTGGCGAGAATCCTGGTCAGCCAGAATCTGAGCGACGATTCATCGAAGTGTCTTGGATGTTGATGGACAATGTTGTTTGTGTTGTGCAGCGATCGTGATGATAGCAACGTGAGCCGTTTCATTCACATCTGGTTTTACTGATGGACACAACGGATAACCATTGAAGCCGAATTCGGAGCCCTAAAGCTTTAAAGCGCTCAAACGAAAACGCTACCTAGCTAGAGTCGTAAACCCTAAAACTTTAAGACACCGAACAAAAAGCAAATTCGAAACGTTCTTGAGGCCTTACAACTAAAACTGAGAAATACCTGCATAATTCAATAAATGACACCCAACAATCAACATCTTACAAACATCGATCTGCAGCTGTGAAAAAGCTAACCCATCCAACGCATCCCTATCATATCCTGAAATCCTAATCCCCCTCCCCTTCCCCCAACCCGCCCCTAAACCCGTACCATGAAAACCTTAGACCGTATAAACACTAACCAATCCCCACTCGTAAAAACAGCAACCCTGCCCAAGACTCTATAACCTCCATCTTCACCCCAAACCCTAAACCCTAAACTCTGTTCATATGGGGGGTTTCCGGAAAAGAGGACCCTAATATAGTACCTAAATAGTAGCATCCTGATTATCAGGGCGCCCAAAATAAGGTAAACTCCCATATTGTAAGCCCTAAACCCCAAACCCTAAACTCTGCTCATATGAAGTGGCTTGTCGGAGAGCTGGACGAACTCAGACGCCTCGCCCCGGATTGTCCAAGCTGTGAGAGCTTTGAGAGTCTGGGGGTTTAGGGCTTAGAGTTTAGGGTTTAGACTCTAACCGGCTGAAAAGCGGCAGAGGAGGCAATGCTGCCAGTCAGGTTTCAGAAGGATTTAGAGTCTCGGGTTTAGGGTTTAGGGTTTAGGGTTTAGGGTTTAGAGTCTAGAGCTTATAATTAGGGTTTAGAGTTTAGAGTCTGAACTTTCAGAACAGGGCGATCACGGCGACGCTCCGGTCGTTGACGCGGGGTGGCGTCATCCGAGCTGAGGCTGGCAGCGAGCGACCCATTCATAGTTCCCTAAGGGTCCAGGTGCCCAAATAGCATATAATTTGGCCTTTATATAGTCGCTACATAGGTACTTTAGGGCCAATGTAGATACTATTTGGGTACATGGACCCTTAGGGGTTGTAGACGGGGTAGCATATCCCCTCAAATAACTCCAAAAGGTTAACCTTCAGTTACCCCTGGACAGATCGGACATGGTTTATAGTGTCTGAGGTTTAGAGTATTTAGGGTAATTGACGGGCTTTGCTTTCGGATTTGTGAAACTGGGATGTCGGCTTGTGGATTAGGAGAGTGCATTGTCATGCTTGGCTCCAAACATGGATGCATGACCATGACAAGGCCTTGGCCACGTGCTGCTCAACAAGAACAACCCTTGAACCAGGGGTCCAATACCTAGATCTGAAACTGCAATGGATTATAAAGGCTTCCAGATTAAACACGATGTATATCTTGAGCACCATCCCATCAATACAAACTCTTGTGCTTGCGACCCTAAGCCTTATAAGCCTCAAACCTAAAACCCTGAACTGTTCAGGACATCCGAGTTCTTACCCCAAGCTTTGAAGATGATGGGCCACTGGCCATCCAGAAGCTTCCCCGGTACATCCTTCGAGAGCTGTGCCCCTTTGGCTGAAATAGAGGAGCCTGGCTTATGTGTATGTGTACGCACACGGTGTTTGAGCTATGATATGCCCAACTTATTCCAGTTCTTCTGGTCATACAGCCCCTGAGCTGTGATCCCTACCCAGGGAAGCCTGGGAGCCTTTTCTTTGATGGTTTGTTTAGGTGATTGTTTGGGGCTTGTAACCGAGTTGTACATCAGAACACAGTAACGGGGAGGTTCATGCTCCCCTGTAAACTTGCTTCTTGCAACCGTGAGCATTGAGCATCCCGCCTTTGGCGCAGCAGAGTGGCCCCAAGAATCCCCATCCCCAACCCTAAACCCTAGGGTCTTGAACCCGAGAGACGAAATCGAACAGTGTGCAAAGTATCGCAAAGAAGAAAACGCGTACTGCCGCTTGTGTGGTAAAACAGATGTCGTACACCCTGCATCTTAAGATCCTAGAGCTCGCATGAAGGCAACAAATCACTGAAAAATCCAAGCTGTGAGATCCAAACACCTAACCCCCTACTCCCCTGAGATGCTGCCAATGCCAAGGCCTAAACCCTAAAACATCCTAAAACCCTAAACGCTATAAGCCCGAAACCCTGAACACCTACAGCCCTAAATCCTAGGCCTTGTCATGGGCGTCTATACTTGGAGTGCCTGGTTCGAGGGTCTGGTGCTCCCCCGAGCCATGCATGCAGTGGCCCGGCGCGAAACCTAGGTTCCCCAGTAGTAATCTGTTGCCCCTGAGCCTCAAACCCCAAACCCTAAACCCTTTTGCCGTTTTTTGGGTTCGCCGGAAAACGCTTACCGTTGTCATGAAGCGGCTACTGGGGAACCGAGAAAAGGACGTCGGTATTCATCGCTTCTGTGTTACAAGGTTTAGGACTTATGTCTAGGCCTGTTGCTTTTGGGTTTCAGACGTTTCGTTTGAAGTTGAGGTGGTGTACGATCTAGGGCCGGGGGGCTTAGCTCTAGCCTGAGAGGGTGTAGCATGTCAATTCATTTCAGTTGGTGTCTTGCCACCGGCTCCGTTTTAGAATCATGTGCTGACAATGGCCTCTCGTAGTTGTGGAGTCTGACTGCGATGATGGTTGTTATAACCGTCCAGAGAAGCCCAAAGGCTCCACCTCAGTTGACAAGAAGCCAGGAATCCCAATGCCACTTAATCACGGTGGCTTTATATCATCCGAACGCAGGCCTTGGGCCTTGAACCCCAAACCTTGTAACTTATGTGGCGTCTGCAGCGTGTGGAGTCTTGGTTCCTCAGCCCTGCAACCCAACATCTGAGCACGGATCTGAAAAGTCGGAGTGCGACGGGGGTGGGGGGGTGTGGGCGGTGGGCGTTGTGTTTTGTACCAAGAGGTTAGGGACCTATACTTCGACACGCTTTACGTCTCACCTGCTACAGGTTTTTGCACTAGCCCGGCTCGAAAAGACATGAAAAGACACAACTTGTATTCTTGAGCCTAGATTCGGAGAACTCCAACCCTATACCTTTCGATTCAGAGGCCAGGAGTGGAGTGACACCATGACAATCTGTTGTAATCCGTGTTTCATAGTACCAACATGGAGCATGCTTTTGGGCCCCTGTTTGTGGCTGTTGTGTGCAAATGCACATATATGTGTATGTATGCATGAATGTATGTATGCATGTACCAATGTGTATGTAATAACGGTATGAGTATGCCTACCTATTATAGTTTGTCTGTTTTTGTTTTATCTGTCTCTCTCTCTCTCTCTATCCCTCCCTCTCTGTCAGATCCTCTCAAGCCATGTATGGACATTGTGACCCCTCATGAATGCACAGGTTCGGCTGCGCTTCATCCTGCAACAAACACTCGAAAAGCGCGAGGAGGACGACCGCTGTTTGGCAGAGGCAACCAACAGGGTTCTGCATCGGCTTTGGCAGGATCTGTGCGGACCTTTCATTGGTTTGTTCAGTTATCTCAACCTCAAACTTCCATAAAATGCGATTTACGATGTACTGCATGAAAGAAACATGTGTGTGTGTGTGTGTGGGTGTGCAGGCGCGCGTGCTTACACCTTCACTTGCGTACGCACGCACGCACACACACACACACACAGACACACGCACACACATACACGCGTACATGCATACAAACATACATACATACATACATACACACATACATACATACATACATACATACATACATACATACATACATATACATACATGTACATACATACATGCATACTTACCTACTTTCGTACATATGTATGCACCGTACCTGCATGCATAGTCAGTTGCCTACCTACCCACCTGCCTACCTACCTGCCTGCCTGCCTGCCTACCTACCTACCTACCTACCTACCAACCTACCAACCTTCCTACCTACCTTCCTACCTACCTACCTACCTACCTACCTACCTACCTACCTACCTACCTACTTACTATCCACCTAACTGTAGTTGTGCTAGAGCTGCTGCGACTGCGACTGCTACTGCTACTGCTACTGCTACTGCTACTGCTACTGCTACTATTACTACTACTCCTACTGCTGCTGCTACCACTACTCCTGCTACTGCTCCCATTCTTACTTCCATTCCTGCTTCTTGTAGTGCATCTCATATTCGTATTCCTACTCCTACTCCTACTGCTGCTACTGTTACTCCTGTTGCCTGCTGCTGCTGCTGCTGCTTCTACTACTGCGACGACTACAACTGACCCAGCAGCCCCAACACCCACAATCTGCATGACAGACCGCACATTTGATGAGATTTTCTGTGTATGGCGTCGTTCTTCAGAACGGAGCGCAGTGGCCAGGTGGATCTCAACGCCTTGACCGCTCAGGAGCTCTTGAGGGAGAACGAGCCCGGTCCTCGATCTGGGTGTAAGACAGACTGCTATCCGAATATGAGGAATGAAGTAGAAGGGCCATTGCGTTCTTTCACAGATTTCGTGTTGACGACGTACACATAGGTGTATATATATATATACACATGAATTTTACGTACATATATTGCATACACGCACACGTTTAGCTGTGGATGTATACATAGACAGTATTAGTGTCTTTGGGCTTTATTGCTGACCTACATAGGCTACCAGTTTAGCCCGCCAAAGCAGGCTAGCTTTCTCTTTCGACCTAGGGGCCTAGTAGGGTCTGTGCGTCAACATGGAATTTAGAATTGCCAGCACAGTCTTAAGGCAATTCGAGGCTTGCAGGAGGCATATTTTCAAACGCGGTTCTCCCACGCTACACCTCATCTACACTTTTTTCTCCTGCTCTTAGCGTACAGCACCTCGCACAGAACCATATCTGCACCTGGAAATGCCAGCCTGAAGCTGTCGATGTTTTGTGCGCGACTCACGCCTTAAGTATGTTAGATTCAGCGCTTGTTTGCGATTTGAAGGGCGCTAGCAGGACAAGAATAGTTTATTTTCCTCTAAAGTCATGGTTGTCTTGCAAGCAAGTCATGGAGAGCCCGTCCAGTGTAATGGAATCTTCAACCAAAAACCCTGCAAGTCTAGAGGCGGCGACGGATGCTTTGGTTGGGCAGCGAGTCCAATCTTCGCATCTTTGGCTGCAGTTCAACTGGCTGGAGACTTAGGCTTAGGGATTAGAGGCAAGCGATCCAGGTAGAGTTTCGAGTTCACTTGTAACATCTGATTGGGCCTTCCCCCACCGACATGACCCAAATCGCCCCACCGCAGTCGCTTGGGTGCCTCTGACGCTGCCTTCGAGAGCACTTATTCAAGAGTTTGTAAAAACAATGCATGCTGAAGACGTCTCCAACCTTATTGTAGGTTTGTTATAACATGATCCCCGGTCCTCGCGTCCATGTATAGTACAGACTTTGACCTCAAAGGGTTTTCTATATGAGTGCTCCAAGGTCCAAGGCAATACTACATGGCCTCATGGCCTATTATGGCCAAAACCCCACCCTAAAGGAACAGGGGCGAGAGTCATCGCTTCGTGACTCCATTCCATTGAGCACGGTTCACTTGCTTTAACAAGGTCTGAGGGTTAAAGTGAAGAATTTACGTGTTGCGCAGTTCACTTTCTCAACCTAGACCATACATCCAGAACCGTTGGTGACGGGATATTGGATTTCTAGGTCCGGACGTCCTGATACATACACGCCTGAACACACCCTGATCGTACAAACATAGGTACATACGTACGTATTTGCCTACATACATACGCACATACATACGTATCATACACACATACATACATGCATGCATGCATGCATACATGCATTCCTACACATACATATGTATATATATATATATATATATATACAATTATATGTACATCCACATACATACATACATACATACATACATACATACATACTTCCTTACTTCCTTACTTCCTTACTTACTTACTTACTTACTTACTTACTTGCTTACTTACTTACTTACTTACATACTTACATACTTACATACCTCGATTTTTTTGGAAGCTCGAAGCCCACATGCCTTAGACCCTCGAACACCGTAACAGGGGCGCAACTTCAAGATTGGCTGGCATTGTCTTTAGACCAGGACACCGCAGAAAGCTGCCGGTAGGGTCCAGGGTTTTGGAGATCGTTCGGAGAGTACGCTCGGCCTAGCACGCCGTGCTTCTCCGATCTCCGATCGTGCACTCCCACGGCGACAGCAATCGGCCACTGCAAACTACGGCCTGGCTCAACGTTTTTGAGGTTCTGTGACTAGCCCTACGGATATCTATTAATTGTCTTGTCGTCAGCTACCCTGCTGGCAGGACATCCCCAATCACGTCCTCCTTTTTCTGCGCCCCTGTGCCACTGCTGCTCGGTTGGCCGGCGGTGCATAGAACTCAGCAGGCTTGTAGTGTGGGCACGGTTTCGGCGTCGGGACATAACTCTTTGTGATGTTGGTTCAGGAGGCTTGCAAGTTAAATCTGACAAGGTGGCAGGTTACCATTCCGATTGCTAAACATGAGCGAGTGTTGCCAGGGCCTTTTCTTACGGCAAAGAGACGTGTCAGTTACTTGTGCTGTTACTAGATACCGCGTACCCTTCGAGCACCCCTGGAAGCAGGTCCCGGAATCTAAGGGCACCATTTGTCGGTTTCAACTCATCCTATGCCCTTCCCAAACCCTAAACCCGACACCCCGTAGGCCCAAATGGCCCAAAACCCTGAACCGTGTCCCAGAGACACGGTTGGCCTAGCTCGCCATGTGCACTGATACATGTTAGCTTTCTGCGTGCTTGTGGGCTGCGAAGGAGGTTTACTGCAATCCCGTGAACTAAATATGCAGCAACGCCACTCTGAGCCAATAGCCAGCATCACAATAAGGATGTGAATGCTGTCCCGGCTTTGCTGACGCAAGATGAACGCGATCACATCTTGGGCTGCTTGCCTTTTATGAGCCTGAGACTGATCTTCTTGGACTTACATGCGAACTTCATATGGAGGCTAAGCTGTAGCTGTAGCTCATCTGGGACATTGGAGAGCAACTGTGTTTTCTATTCGGGGTTTATGGAGCTTACGGTTTAAGGCATAATTAGGGTTCACGACACACACATTCCGCTTTAATGTAGGGGCCTCAATAAGTTTTTTACTATTTATAATGCTATTTTGGGGTTCCTTAGTATTACTACAGTATCATGGGCCCCCAAAAAACCAGTTCTAATTATTAAGGCCCCGAAACCCTGAACCTTTAAAACAAAAAAACAAATCCAGTGAGGCCTCCAGGGCCGTTTCGCCGACTCACAAATCCACGAGTGGATCCGGAAGAACATGGACCGGTCTGCCCGGACGGCCAAGGCCAGAGGATCATGGGGCTTCTTTCATCGTGGGGTTTAGGGGTTATGGGCTTAGGGGTTTAGGAGTTTAGGAGTTTGAGGGTTTAGGGTTTACGGGTTATGGGCTTAGGGGTTTAGGGTTTAGGGGTTTAGGGTTCAGGGCTAGGGGTTTAAATTCAGGTTTTGGGGTTTTTGTTGGCATCTGCAGGGCCAGACTGGGTTCGTAAAGGGGCAGAGTATTCCCTGTTGGATGTGGCATAATTAACCTGCCCACCCACCTCCACACGAGCGCAGACATGCACTCAATGCTCCCCACACAACCCAGAGAACGACGAAACCCTTGGTGAAGGAAATTTACGCGAAACCCTGAGGCTCCGAAAAGCCAAGAGCAAGAGCAATACTTTTATAGACATTAGACCCCAAAGTAGGCATCATTTCTATACTTGGAGCCCTCTCGGGAAAGGAACTTTTCAATTCTTTTGCTACGCGCTTAACCCTAAATCCTAAACGGTCTCTACCATAGCCGATCTTCAGTGCCCCGATATAATAGTGCTGTGTCCCATTTTAAAGACATGAACCGGGTTTAGGGTTTAGGGGCAACTCTTACAGCCTTTGCATTCATGCTGTCGCGAGTGCGGCCTGGAAAGCGACAGCTGTCCTGGCGTGACATTGCATGACAGTTGCAGAAAGGGTCAACACTCAGCAAATGAGGGACAAAAGAGCTTCAGAAGCCTTTGAACTCTAATTATGGCTGCGTAGGGAGTTTTTCATGGCTTCAGGATGTGGGGCTTTAGGTGAGTCCAGGTCCTAGGTGTAGGATGTCGGGTTTTAGAGCTTAGGGTTTAGGTCTTTTGGAGTCTGGGGTTTAAGGTTTAGGATGTAGTTTTGTTGGGGCTGAACGGTTTGGGGTGTAGGCTTGCAATGTTTTTTCCTTATGGGCTTCAGTATGTCTCAGACTGTAAGGTTTAGGCCTTAGGGCTTCAAAGTTGATGGTTTTCTGATATAGAGGGTTCGGAGTTTACCTGTGACCCCAAACCCTACAAAATAGTAGGTTATGACCCCGTAATTAAAGGGTAGACCCCTGAAAACGGTCGGTTTTTGGATCCCCAGTTAGTTTAGGGTTTAATGTGTGGGGGTTTCCAAACGGTGCATCCCCGGACCCACCAGACGAAGGAGCCCGACTTCACGCTAGGATTCGTTTATATGCTGCAATATAGGCGCCGGCCCTAGTAATCAAACGTACACACACACACACACTTATGATATATATATATATATATATATATATAGATACATACGTGCATGCATATGTTCTTTTGTTCATGCTTATTTATCTCTGTACTATTTAGAACTTTAGAACCTGAATCCCAGAGCCGAAACCAGCTGAGAACTAACACTTTTCGCGAAGGCCTTGTTCATGTTCTGAAAGTTCATCTTCTAAACACTAAACGCCTGAAGCCCCAACCTGAAATCGCAGGAGGATGGGACCGACCTGGTCACGACCTCAGATGTTGTTTCTCCCTGCCATGCTCGGGATTACCACCCGGTTACGGTTACAGGATTTGGGAGGCCAGCAAAACCGCGGAGTGGGTTGTGGTGCTTGCAGATAAGCCCTGCATGGGCTAGCCCCAAGTCATTCTTGCGTGGTGGTGCCATGTTTTACACGTAGATCCTAGGCGAGTCAGCACCAGCACCATCATCACCCCACCGAATTACACCCAGCTACTATGGCGATGTCAATGACGACGAACGGCTACTGTAGCTCAAGACTGCCCCCCGTCCTCTTGCAGATTTTGTCTGCTTTGTTTCGTGTCCCTCCCAAGGAGAAGAATTTGATGGAGGATGGCATCGAGAGCCTCAAGGCAATTTCCTAAAGGGTCCATGTACCCAAATAGTATATACTTTGGCCCTAAAGTAGTCCCTATATAGGTACTTTGGGGCCAAAGTATCTACTATTTGGGTACATGGACCCTTAGGGTTTGGCATTACACAGACGGCATTCAACCCGAGACTGTTGCGACGGGGCTTGCTTTAGTCTGCAACAGATCATGGAAACGAGCTAGCATAGAAGCCTCAATAGTTAGTAGCCAGTAAAATTAGTTTGCATAGTTCTTCTTTAACATAGCAGAATATTCCCAAAGCCCTCTTGCAAGATTTCTGCAGTCTATTCGCTTCATAGCCAAAGTGTGAAGCTTTTGTGCCCGAACTTCTCCGAAACCCCTGGATTAAGGAATGTACCATATACTTAGAGCTTTATGATGTGTAAGTTTTTGGTTTAAAGATAAACAACAATAGTCACAGCTGTATCAAAACATCAATGGCAATAAAAGTCCTCATCGCAGAATTGTGATAAGACGAACCCCTAAGGGTCCATGTAACCAAATCGTATAAACTTCGGCCTCTAAGTAGTCCCTAGAAAAGGTACTTAGGGGCTAAAGTATACTATTTGGGCACATGGACCCTTAGGGAATAATCCTAAATCCAAGAGATCAAGCGTCTCTGGATACCTTATCCCTCACACCACAACGCGTGCAGTTGCTTCAAAGAACATGAGGTTCGAAGCTTCTGGGTTCATGACGTTACGGTGTAGGGCTTTGGGTTCAGGGGTTTAGGGTTTATCTGCCGGCTTTTTGTGTTATGGATCCTTTTTCGGATTTCCTGAAGTCCTTACGGCGGCAGTTTTGGGTTTGAAGGGAAGTGATGGTTTCAGTCACTTGGGTGCTGAGGGGGCCTTGGAGTATATTTGGTCCTGGTTTAGGACTTAGCTAGGGCCAGGGCCTTAGGACCTTAGTTATTTGGGTCCCGGTCCCCCTAGGGTTCTTACCATAGGGCAGAAAAGGCTAACTTTGTAGAAAGGTGGCAAACATGCCCTAAACCCTAAACCCTAAGATGGTCCTGGAGTCCGAGAGAGCCTATCGGCCCGAATGTGTTTAGACACCGACTCGAAAGCCACAGCTCAGAACTTGCACATTTCCGTTGCTGTAAGGTACAAACTTTCGCTACTTAATTCTGGGTCCTTAGAGTACTTAGGCAGCCCTGGAATTGCACGTTTAACTCTGATGGTTTTCTTGCAAACCTCCCTTAACCGCAAACTGTCGCCCCCTCAGGCCCTTGAGCCCTCAACTCAAAACCCCAAATTTAGGCTTAGTGTTTAGGGTTTAGGGTTTATAAACCCCACTTCCACTTCAGACAGGAGCATGTGGAGGAGGTGCGCCAAGAGTTGGGCGAGATCGAAGCCACGAAGGCCAGGGGGCCTTAGAACGTCTAGGGGTTTGGGACTTAGCGGCCCCTAAACCCTAAACTTAGGGGCCTGCGGCTGAAGGGATTCGGGGCTCAGTCCGTTGCAAGCCCTGCTCAAAAAAGGTGTGCGGTTTGCCTGTTGGTTTTGGGGCTCTCTACAACCTATAACATCTTAAAACTACAAAGCCATTCTGTAACCCTTTACCGGACCCGAAGCCCGAAACCCAAAGCCCACTCTGCAGCGAAAGGGTTAACACACTTGACAAAAAAACCTCAGCCATAAACCCTAAGCTCTAAACCCTAAGCCCTAAACCCTAAGCCCTAAACCCAAAACCCCGAAGCCGAAGCCCCGAACCCAGGAGCAGCTCAAGGGCTTCGGCCAGGTGCTCAAGTCCACCAGATCCTTGGCAGGGAATCGGATTTGACATCAGCTTACAGCACTCATAACAATTGTAGTGGTAAAAATAATCAAATGATGCGTGTACTCGTAAGAATAGTGGCAAGAAGAAGACGGCTCATGATGACGATCGTGATGATGACGATGTTGAGGATAATCGTGATGATGATGATGGTGATGATGCTGATGCTGCTGATGATGCTGATGATGATGCTGATGCTGCTGATGATGCTGATGATGCTGCTGATGATGATGGTGATGATGATGATGCTGATGTTGTTGAAAGTCCGAAAATATTCTGAGACTATCTTTGCATGTCTCCAAAGGTTCTAGACAATGGTAAGTGGCCGCCAAGGCCAGCAAGCAGGCGAACACTGCTCATCGGTCTTAGTTCAGCTCCCAGTCCGACAAACGGCGAGTGAATCCTACTCGGTAACTTGAGAGGCCTCCCAAGATCACTTTGTTGTAGCATATGTGTGTGTGTGTGTGCACATACACACACACACACACAGGACATCGCGTGTATAGTGCATAGGTATACATTATACTGCAATCAACATGTACTCCAATAAAACGTAACAGCAACAGCAGCAGCAGCAGCAGCAGCAGCAGCAGCAGCAGCAGCAGAAGGCACACCATGCCACCTCCACCCACACCCACACCCATGCCAACAAACATGCCGACTCCAACCACCCACCCGCCCTGCAACCCCACCACCGCCCACCCACCCGCCCACGTTGCATCGGGGCTGAGAATGATTCCCAGTGGTGTTGGCACCCTGTCTGTTTTGTCCGAGAAGCAGGTGACGAGGAGCTGCTGTCGATCTTCGACACCTTGGCAGATGAGGAAGGCCGAACATCTCAGACCTCTCACTTTTGAATGAACCCACCAGTCCTGCCTTTGCTTTTGCCTGTGGAGGCGTGGTGGAAATACCTTCCTTGGAGAAGAAGATTCAAGAGTACCTGGGGGGAAAGCTGCCGGACGTCTCCGCCTTGCACATCTCTCTGGAGACTTGGTCCAGTCCTTAAAGGAGAAAGCATTGTTTAGTGTTTTTTTTAATGTTTAGCTTATAGTGTCTATTTTAGACAGGGCTGTACGGCTCCGTCTCTGGAGTGTGGAATTTTTATCCACAAGTACTGACTTGACATAAGCTCTATTTGGAGGTTCGTTGCACTTCGTAACTGCAGACGAAAAATATTTCAATTGTGATTATAAGCATGGCTACCTTGTGCATAACCCTATAACACTTGCTAAGTCCCATGAACCTTTGATAACCTTTGAGTAGCTCATTGCCAAGTCTAAGGAAAGCTTCTACAGTGACGATTCTGCTCACATAAGCCGCGCGGACTTTGCAGCTGCGCTCTCTCGGTGTCGGCAAGACTGCTAGTTCCCGTCAGACACGCGACTCTGAAGCTCTACATCCTCTAGCTGTTCCAATACCTAAACCCTGCAGCTTGATCTGAAGTCATGGAGCAGTCCGGGCTAGATCGCGAGGGCGGTTCGTGTCGGACAGCAGGTGACGATCACAGCGTCAAGAGGTTTCGTGCAAAAAGGTGCAGGGTTTAGGGTTTAGGGCTCTGGAAAGCCTGTTGCAAAAGGGCAAGAGACCTGTTCGTACTCTTCAGTCCCATACAGAATGATTGAGAACATCAAGCGCCAGGAGGGTCACGAAGTATGTGCCAAAATATTTAGCTCGTGCACTGCCAGGTTACAGCGTTGCAAAACCACGCGCTCGCAAGACCATTGCTAGTTCCTTCAAAAGTTCCCAAAGTAATAATAGGTATAGCGACAATGTACCAAACTCTCCGTCTAGTAGCCGTTAGTAGCCCCTACATAAACAGAATGCGTGGCCTAACGTGCTCATGCTGCCACGGTGTGGTGTTTCTTGTCACTATTGAAACGGTGCGGAATCCATTCAAACCCCAAACCCTAACCCCTAAACCTAAACCTTGAGTCTTGACCTAGTTAAGGGATCATGGGATGTAGTAGCTAGGCTTGAGGGCTCCTTTTAAGGGTACTTTCGGGTTCTATGATAGGGTTCCATGTAAGGGTTTATGGACCCAGAGGAAATACAAATACTAATATTACGGTATGATGGAATCAGGCCTCAAGGCCAGAATACGGATGGTCTTTTGGGACCTAATTCCATATTTGTAGTACACATTATAATATGGACCCTCTGGGTTATAAAACCCACTGCACCTTGTAAAACCCAGTTTTACAAACGAAGCAGACTTGGGGCTTTTGCCTCTGTTTTTGTTTAGTTTTTTTAGCATTGCGTCAAGAGCCTCTAAACACCCTAAACCCTAAACCGTGGTTAGCATTACATCAAGGACCTCTCAAAACAGGCCTCGGATGTTCGGAATCCCAGAAATGGGCGGATCTGATCTGCTGGGGGCTGTTGGTTTGGAGATGTCGGCCTCTGGGATTTTGTTGAAAGGTTACGGTTTAGGGCTTATGGGTTTGGAGTTGAGGGCTCAGGGCCCCTTAGGGGTTCAGGGTTTGGGAAAAGCGGTGTGAGGCGTATGTTTGGAGTTTAGGGTCGCGGACGTCCACCACTCATGCGTTTTCAGTGCGTTGTCTCGGGCTAAACCTCATGCGCCTATATAGTGCAGACATTGGCCTTCAAGTTACCGCATACGGACCCCAGTAACGCCAAGTACAGACTGTCTGACACAGGGATCAGGATGTGTGGTAATATTATCCCCTCTAGCCCCTATTACAATTAGACTGAAACTTATATCATAACCCCATACCCTATTCTAGTTCTGATCACCCGNNCCCCCCCCCCCCCCCCCCCAAAGCATCAGTTGCGCGGATTTTCAGGGTCCCAGCCCAGCCAGGGGTTCCGCTTCCTGTTTGCTAGAAGTATCTGACTCACGTGGGTTTCTGAGGCTTCAAGTTATGTCTATAGGTCTTTGAGGTGCGATGTTTGTTGCATGTGTCCTGGCTTCTCACACGGTGAAACTAGACGGACCTTGCGGCCTCAGCTTCACAGTGATGAAAGCAAGGATCCCAGACTTACCAGCGCTGATGTTTCCCTCAGGATGACGACCCCTTAAACCCTTAACCACTCAGCCGCCTCAGCTTCTCATCCTGTTACCCTCAGAAGTCAGTTTACAGGTGGAAAACATGTTCAAAGAACTGTGACGCCCTCTTACTTTTAGGAGTAAGATACTTCAAAACCACAGCACATGGCCGGATGTTTACCCCGACTGTTGGCTATAGACATAGGAGCAAGTGTTCAGTACCTCCCAACATGCTGCTCCAGTTCCAAAACGCAAACGCTAAACCTGAAGACCGTGAGCTTTACCAAGCCCTAAACAAACCCTGAAAGCTGATCCCTCAACCCTAACACCCGGAACCAAAGCCCTCGAACTAAATCCATGGGTGCTTCGCCGACCGCAGAGCGCCTTGGCGGGCGCGGCTTCTGGCCTTTTGCCAGCTCTTAGAGCAAGGGTTGAGGGTTCTTTAGGGTGTCGGGGAAGCCGAGGTGATATAGCGACAGGGGGAGGCCTGCTGGTCTTGCCTTGACCCTACTACATGCATTTTATTCATCCTATCCTAGAACCACACTGCTGATACGGTAGTCCGGAATGTGTGCGAAGGCTGCTTCAGGGCTTGTCGGTGCGGCTCTGGACCTTGAGATGCTTCCTCAACCCAAAACCCTAAAACTCTA